CCCCCCCCCCCCCCCCCCCAGGATTAAGGGCCAGTCAGATTGAAACCCCCTAAACACAGCTGAACAAACTTAACCCTCTTGCCATAATGCCTGCACACATCTTCCTACCCTAGGTTCGTGTTGTGTGGAAGCAGGAAGGAAATAAGAAAATAGAGATCTCACGGCTAAGAGGGAAAGAGATGAACACGTGAAGAGTGCTTTGAGGATACACAATGAACACACATCCTATGCAGCTCTGAGCAGCAAATAAACCAGTGAACAAAAAACAAAAGTAAAAAAGCAAAGTAAGATAGTAACGCACTAAACAGTCACAGTCTACACTAGAAGGCAAGTGAGAGCACTAGAAGCGACTCACTACCACATCCTTAAGGGAGCCTAAGGGTAACTTGAAGACGAGAAATAAGCGTAGAATACGACTGCTACACGATGGAAAATTTGGCTTGTCGTCGCCTTCACTATCTTTCCTTGACGACCAACTGCTGACCACTTGACTGCCTGCTTCAACTGACATGATGTTGACTTCGACATTGATGTTGAACTCGATGACGTTGACTCGACCGCGACTTTCGCATCGAACCATAACCACCTTCCGCCAACCGACGATCGAGCTCGACATCGAACAACACCATCTTGCCCATCAGCAATTGTCGTCCTCAACCACTCGACTCGTTGACCACTATCTCACCCGCCTTCCTCGAACAACCAACCGTTTGACCAACGAATCGACCAATACCTTAACGACAGACAGGGGTGTGCACCTTAAGGGCGCACTTTAAACACGCATTAAAATACAGACATAAGAAACTGACAAAGCGCTACGACAACCAAACTTACCTACGGAAACTTACCTCCACATCTTACTGCCAAACAATCAAGTCGAAACACATTGTCCGTCGATTATGCCTGAAAACGCATTAACGGATGGAAACAGTACACTATCCGAACGTATTATCGCACTCGGCGACCAACTAGTACGTCATCCTCGCTACCTCCGGTCTCTCCGGTCGCGAGAAGGTGTCCTAGTTCGGTCTCTTTCTCCTCTCCAAGAGGATCGCCTATCCACCGAGCGAGATCTACGTCTCGCATGCGGCGAGTATCGCTGTCCGCGTGGAGGGATGTCCAAGTACGAGACACCTGCTGTGTTGGTGTAAAACTGCGGTGCCGTAGACGCAATACTCAAACTTGAACCTTGCGACGAGTAATCCTTTATTTGATCTCTATCGACATCGCTATACCTACTTCCACTAGCTACTCGTCTCCTTTTCCAGCCTCCTCGGCCCCGACGACTCGAGAATCTACCCCGACGATTCGAGAATCCGCCCCGACGACTCGGGGATCTGGTCCATCCTCCCGACTCAGAGAGAAAGGAGCGCCATCGAAGGGTCGAGTAATAGCTGGCGATTGTTATGCGGAATGTCTAGATGAAGGTGTCGGCTCCTGTTGCTGTAGTCGACCCGAGGAGGGTTCGGGATTTTTAGGTCCGAAGCCTCCCGACTTAAACTGGGCCTTCCAGGTCCAACGTTTGATGCCTCAGCAGATTGAAGTGGGACAGACTCGACAATAATCTGCTCTACTCTTTCCACTGTAAGGCGACGGAATCTTTTGTTTGATCTGTACTCCTGGTCATACTTCTTTCTCCACCATTCGAGGTATTCCGGAACGGAATCTTCCTCGTAAGACGACATAATCCCCATTCCATAGCACGTCATGAGATTAACCGCCTCTGGATCAGCATCGCGGTGATCATGAAGGAGCGCCTGTTGGTGAAACTCGATCCAGCGAATCAATCTCGTGAGGTGCGCACAAATGGCAGATGTACGGCGAAGCAGAGGTAGAAGTGTGTCCACGGAGACTTTCTGTAACTCTAACGCAGTACAAAACTCGTCACGGTCCACGTTGTTATCAAAAAAGTGAGGAAAAATTTCCTCCTGGAGAACTTCTCTATGAACCGTGATCGCCGTCAAACAATGGAACAATTCCGCTCTCCATGCTGCCAAATAAACATAATTACCCTTGAACCAGTGAACCCCTTTAAAGGTGACCAAGCATTCTTCCATAAATTTAACAGCGTTATCGAGCGATAGAAGAATCAAGCGATGCGAATTGACAATTGCAACAATACTATCATAGGAGCATTCTGGAGCAAACTCTTCAAGTATCCGAGGTGGAATCTCGGACAATTGACGAGCCACAAACTCATAGGAAACCCTAAGCTATCTCGCAGTCAAGTCCTCGATAGAACTGGCATTGACAAAATACGAACTATTAGGCGTAACTGGTGGGAGAGGACAGACATCTCCAATGGACCGATTAGGCCTTAATGGAGTGTCTTTCGACTCCGCCTGGTTACGCTTACTAACGTGCAACACTAAATCTCCGAACTCCCTACGATATTCCGCGTGGGCTTTTCGCAGCTTTAGCACTACACTACGCAATATTTCCTTAAGTTGTTTTACGGTCGGCACGCGCAGATCGGATGTATCGACCGGCGCTTGCGACCTATCCACAACAGAAGGCACGGGGGTCTTGATTGTACGTGCGTCCTTCGTCTCTGTAGAAGCGAAAATTGCATTTGGCATAGGGTCTTTTGGTTTGACGAAGGGCGTACGGACAGACTTAACCTTACAGACTGCGTGCGAAGACAAGTCTCCCTGCTGCAGTGGAACAGCGGGCGTCAATGTCTGCGCACGCGCACTGACAGGCAAATCACTCAACAATATTATGTCTTCCTTGTTTTGGATGCTCACGACCGGTGGATGGACTGCCATCCCCTGTGCGGAAGGCACGATGGGTTCGCATTCCATATCCACAACGTCGTAATTATCCGACGAGGAAGAAGAAAGAATATTGTGTGGAACAAACACTGAAGAGGAATTAGCACTGTCAAAGTCACTTACCTGAACAGAAGGCATCATTTGTACAACAGGCGAATTAACGGTCGCAGGTGGTGGAACTGTTCCTTGCGACGCTTTCTTCGCCCTAGCACGATGCGATCTTCGACCCATAATAACGAAGGCAGTAATAGAATAAAACTTCTAAAAGCCTATACGAAATAATGCAAAATGTAGCACAGCAAAATAGCGACAATGGAGCAAAAAGGTGGAAAAGACTGCGATGTAACGATGGAACAAAGGCAAAACTGCAAGACCGAAAACGAAGATGTTACAAATGGCGAATGCCAGCTAAGTCTTGCAGCTGTTATGAAATGCCATGGCCGAACAGCGTTGGGCAACAGGTCCCAAGGCGACGTCCGGTGTACTGTAGGTGTTGACCTTGGTACACCATTGCTACCTGAGGGTACCAGTCGCTGAAACGACACGCTAACAAGAGGATGCATGCCCTCATTCTCGTCAGAATGATGGGAATGGGAGGCATAAGGAGGGGACACATTGAGAAGAAAAACTAAGAAAAGGAAGAAGCGTAGAAAAGGGGTGAGAGTCGGAAAAAAGCTAGATGCAAAGATGGGAGTAAATCGACGACTATGCTCGGACCGGTAGAGAAAGAGAAACTACTTTAGAGAGGAAAGAATCAAATTGACTAAAAAGAAGAGTAATCTAAATAGAGAAAGGGTAAGCTAAATAATTAGAAATCGCCAGAAACTTATCTCGAGTGTGTCCCATTCACTACTTGGAGTGATGGATCCTCGTGGGAAGCGTCTGTGACATAAAATGTCCTCTGCTTTCGCTGTTAAATCTTTTCAGTCGAATTTCATGCTGTCAGCACATGGAGTTTCAACAGAGTGAGCTGATACTACTTCATCTGCCATGTTAGGCTTCGACCTTCGAATGATGACATGAAGATCGTCATGGGTCCTCTTGAGTATAGACACAGTTGAGTGGCACGCTCTCGCCGACGACCTCAACGGAGTAGGAACTCAACCATCCCGACATCCTGACCTTTAATTTGAGGCACAGCTAAAAGTCCTACAAGCAGTATAGTGAATCCAAGCGAACTTGGCTCCACAATAAAACTCGATAATGAATGAGCTTCCTAAGTGACTTGAAAAGAAAAACTGCGTAACGTAATAACTTGTGGAAGTCGTTAGTCTTTGAAACGGCGACACTGAACGATGATCTCGTATTAAGAGCAAACTAAAAACTTGATCTCCGTCTCCGGAGTCGAGGAAGGTAAAATATAAAGGCGCATCGTCGAGTGTGACTATATCGTCGGACAACGGCTTACATAAGTGGTCCAATCCACCAGAAGTAGCCAAAACACACTCCTAAGGAGAGTCTTTTGGTCACACGATCTGTTGGGTTGGATCCTGGTGAAAGACAATGAACAAAAATGAATTAAACGCCAATCTTCCTTAAACGAATTGTCCAATGTACTGAGAATCTGATTGGCCAGAGTGGATAAACATTTCCGCAGAACAATTCCTATAAGTCCAGTAGAGTAGGATATCGAATCGACAATGAGTCAACCAATTTTGAAATTAATCGTCAGCTCCTTGGGCGGAATCGAGCCAGTGACACAGATGTGTCACGTGCCGTCAATTCTAGGCGAGGTATAGTGGTTTCTGTAATGGAAGCCGACCTCGTCTCCACTATAAGGAGGTGACGTAGGAAAAATGAGCCTGATGTACTGCTCAATGGGTGAGCTACCGCTGAGTACGCTCTCTCTTGGAGGCATCCGTAAGCAACGAATGTTCATGCACAGCATCCTTTCGACAACAAACAGTTACCTTTAATAGGGAGCAAACTTTAACTTTCAATGCTGTTCACAACCCTCTGCCGCTTAACTGAGCACATCTTTACAAGAAGCGTATCAAACAAGTAGCCGTCCTTTCCAAAGGTCCTGAATAAGGATCTAGCCCAAACAAATGATGAAAAGATAACCAGAAAGGTCGAAATCGAACGCGATCGCACAGAGAGCGGTGCGTTTCGTCGTAACCAAATGAGATGCCGAGAAAACTCGAATATGAAGAGTTACCCAAGTGGGAGTCTGCTTCAACCCGAGTAACTCGTGCATCTCATAGGTGATATTCATACGATCTGCTCTGGAAGCTAGTACGTTACAGCCGAGTAATCGAACATGAACTTTTTAGGATTCATGTCCGAACGATAGAAGATTTGCTCACACTCCTTTGGTTCCTAACGCACTCCTCAGTGCCATTGACACCGATGAGCACATTATCCGCACGAGTATTCACAAGAACTTCATCGCATACTTGCGTTCAAACGCGTGCTAGATGAAAATTTTGAGCAAAAATGGCAAAACATTAATTCTGAATGCTGCGCGCGTGAAGCAGAAATGATGCTAAAAAATGAAAATGCAGGATGCTTAAGCCACAAAATCCTATTAACGCCCCACTGATCTTTCTGGAGGCGCATGTAGTGAAACGCGTTCTCCACACTACTAATGATGAGGAGATGCGATTCACGAGATAGTAACGAAGTACCTGCTAAATCTGACAATTAGATAAACCCTTGATGCAAACAATCGCTCGGGTCGGGTAATCCCGTCTGGTGACTGAAAACATCGAAGACAATTCTCATTGCGGGCGTGACGTCGTTCGCGTTGAGAACTGCCGAACAAGGCGTATAATATGCTAACAGTCCGTCAAAGCTGAACTCTTCCACTTCCTCAATGATAGAAGACTACTCCTGGTTCTGAAACGCCTCACAATACTGAACCCTCAGCTCTTCATCGTCATGAAGAGCATCATACTGATACTGTAGCCGTTTCAGGGCAGCATACGTATTGTCTAATAACCGTGGATGATGTTATGCTCATGGAAATTGAACACGTATGATGCGAGTAATGACCTAGACATTATTGCAAAGATGTTAGATGACCTAGACATTGTAAAGATGTTAAATGACCTCAACATTGACTTCATCGTCGTGCCCAGGCCGGGTACTATGCTTGATGAATTGAAATGTGAGGTCCGAAAGGTGCCTAATATGCGGCTCAGATTTCGCATACTCTTCGCACGTCCGTACTGCCGGCTATGATGTTAAATGACGAAAACGTGCTTAGAACATAACACACGAACAAATTTACACAAACAAACACGCAAACACACGCAAACAAGCACACAAACACATACACGAGCATACACACGAATACAACCCTGAACCTGGTAACACTGGACTGACGCTCATCATAGCGATAATCAGCCAAGATGGCAACCTTCGAGCCTTGTTCGAGTCGACAATCTTGTAGTAGTGATCTCAATGAGTGCGTCAACATCGACGTCCTCCTGGGTGATCAAAGTGCAGGGACAAAGTAACCTGGACAATTTCACGCCTCCAAGTGCACATATTTGCGCGAACAGATAGAATAACTTTGCAAATTCGAAATAAAGGACAAGCTTTGTCGCCCATTCGTCCTCGCAAAGCAACCTACGCAAAGTATGCAACTTCGAATATTATGAAACGTTCACACTTCGCATGATGACAATTGCGGATCGGTAAAGCCCAAGTCCTCACGCATTAACAGCTTTCGATGAAGCTATGCTGCGCTCCGCTATCTAGCAGCGATACAAGTAGCTCATCCGCCAGCGTGGTGTTATTACGCGCTCGAACTGTGACTACCATGAGACGTGGATTGTCTGATGACTGCTTACGGTTGTGCGTAGCTAAGCAGTGGACATCGTTCGAGTCAGATGGATAGTCTTCATTCTCGTCGTCCACAAGGTCTCCTACATAGTGTGGCTCTGCGGTTGTAGTCTCCACACAGTTCTGGTAGGAGTCGCGTGAGCGAAATCTCCCTGAACGAGGGTGTGAAGAACTGCGTCTAGGTCTAAATAAAGGCGATTGATCCCGTCGTGGTGATCTTGCTCGTCCACTTGGTGAACGGCGCGATCGGGACAATCCTCGTTCCCTGCTGTGTGACCTGGATGACATGCTGGGTGACCTATTGCGAGCCGTACGATAGGATCGTCTGACTTCCTCACGACAGAATGGCCTGTGATGCGCGCCTTGACACCATGGACAAGGTGGTCTATCACAGTGCTCTACCGGATGGTTTGAAGAGAAGCATTTAAAACATGGACAATCCTCACGAACGACTTTCCAGCGTATTATGTGTGATGTTATACGATCGCACTGTGAGGCAGAATGGCGCTGGGACTTACAGAATGCGCAAACTACAGAGGCATATTCATCTCGCCTCGAGCGCCTCAGCGCGGGGCTCTGTCGACGAGTACGAGGATACCTTACAGGACTAGGAGGCGAAGATCTGCGAGAGGGAGTTCTATCTCCATCTCGAGGTCTTCTTGGACCAGATGGTAATGCTAGTGCCTGAGACGAAGAAGTCTCCGCTGGTGAAGAGTCTGGATCACTTGATCCAGAGCCTCGAGAAGGCGGTGTACTCCCCAAGTGGAGGAATCTTTCGCCTGGGTCTCTCCTACACGCTCTAAAGTTTTTGATGGAAATTTATCGCGTATTATGCGCATCGCGTAGATATTGTCGTCATGGTCTCCGAGTCTTTCGAGTTGGAGCCATAGCGACCTAACCTGCGCTATCGTAATACGCTGATTGAGCGCCGAAGCCGTTGCTGGCTTTAACTGCTGTAAACGACTGCTCAGTTGGACGCGAAGAAACGATGGACGAGAATAAGTCTTGCGTAAGATGTTAATAGCCAACTGATAATTAACGTCCGTAATCTCGAAGCCTGCTACCATAGATAATGCCTCGCCCTTGAGTGAAGTTCTGAGGTAATGGAATTTGACGGTAGATGGAATGGTGCGGTTCGAATGAACCGCTGAGTCAAAATCATCCCAGAACTCCGCGAACTTAGCGATATCTCCAGTAAAGACTGGGAGATCAAACTTAGGCAAACGAACAGACTGATCATGAAAAAGTTGATTAACCGGCAAAGTAGGAATATGAGGTGGACCTTCCTCGAGTCCCGAAGGACGCGAAGAAGGAGCACCCGACTCCTGCGATTCATGCAGCGCTCCGCGCTGCGTTCCCTAGCCTCCGGAGACATCCTCCTCGGAGGGGTGGGATCGCCTAAGCGGAGTATCTGCATTAGGTTGATATCCTGATGATGTTACAGTATGAAGCGAAGAAGTAGATGTATTGTCCTGTGGTAGTATACTGATGACTGCTCCGAACCGACTCAGGAGTTTCCTCGCCCGGCTCTCGGCGACATCTCCCCCACTGGCGGACCAGCGGTCGATGTAGTCGCGAACGAGAGCCCGACTAGTCTCCTCCGAGTCTTGCTCGGAGGCATGCTGGATGGCAGCTGCTCAACTCTGGGGGGCTGCCTCCAGCTCCATGGACAATTCACTAGAAGCAATCAAAAGCTGTTCATGACGATTATGAATAAGCATACGAACGTTGTCCGTGTCTCCATCAAGCTGTAGTGGCTCAAAGAGAGCTGGTGGAACATTCGCTACAGCTTCCTGAAGTCGCTGGGCAGCGCGTGTAAAATCATACTGACGTACCTGCTCCATTGTTGCGAAAAGCAAAGCGTCCGTTGATGACAGATGGGAGATGGAATTATCCTATAGCCTTTCACAGAACACTGGAATCAAAGTACTAAATATAATAAGTAAGTACAAAGTACTGTCTGCCGTATGCAGATGTTGATGGGAATGGGAATCGGAGAAATGTCAATCGACGGAGAACCGTGAGAATGGCATTGACAGGCATGGGAAAATGTCATCGCGTCTCGAACCGATTCGCTCGGCGTGGGAAAGCTCACGCCGTTAGCTCATCGATTAGCGAAACGGAGCATAAACGAGAAAAGGGAGGGAGAAAAGAAAAAGAGAGCAAAAAACAAAGTATGAGGGGTAAAAACAGGGAGAAAAAGCAGGAAAACAAGGGAAACAAGAGAAAGACAGGAGGGAGTTAAAAAGGGGACTGTCAGCCAATCAAAAACGGTCGAAAGGCCGATTCACGCATTAAGGAGGTGGAATTAAATGAAAAAGGAAGATTGACGCTAAAAAGGGCACAAAACTACTACTACGGGGGATAACTAAAGACTATACTATAAGGACAACCAAGGAAATACAAGGGGCTTACAGTGGTTATGTCGCCACTCCCTAGCTGCACTCCTAGAAGGGATAATCAGGCTGACGGATTACCTCTTAGAAGGGCGCCGGGTAGGAAACAAACCAGGTAAATCCTTTCTTGATTCCTGCGGAGTCCCCATGCTGCTCTTCTGGGGAGGCCTGCCCCCTGTGCACCGGAAACAGGCCCGAATCCTCGAAGTCTTCACGACCACCGATTGGGATCGATCCTCAGATCCCAAGCCCAAGCTAAACCCCAACATGGAATACCCCCAGGTTATTCCATGTGGTAGATCCCACAGGATATCCAAGATGTGCGGCGTCGTCCCACGCCCGCATGTCCCTTTATCGTCCGAGCCCCAAAAAGGATGAATAGTTTCCCCCCGGTATCCAAGAGTAAGGCTCATCCGAGATGGAACCTCCGGGAGGACCGCGGCGAGTCCATCAGGGGCTCCGCAGGACTCATGTCCAGACCTCCCGGGCGTCCTGGTCTGAGGACGAAGTAACGGGTCCGCTGGGCTTCCAGTTGGCAGGTTGCCACAGTCCTGCCGGACTAAAAGCCCTATTCCCTCCCCGCCAGTTCGCATCCCGGTTAGGCTGCTATACTCGGCGTCCGATGTGCCAAAAGATGAGGGCGGGTGCCTACCCAGGGATTTTGTCCCCAGGTCCCCCATCTGGGTCCGCCAGCCACGGCGTTCCCCGGTGAGTGGGAGGCGGCCAGTGGTATGCCGTCCCCGCATCCGCTCCCTGGTCTTTCCTTCGGGAACGGGCGGGTTCGGTTCTCACGGCCTGCATGCACCATGTCGCGAGTTGATGGCCACCCTTTGGAGCGCGATCCGCATCGGCGGCACGAGCACCTCAAACCTCCTCGCTCAACGGACCACCACGCCCTACCTGCGCCCCGAGACAGGAGGGCGGACCAACCCCCCGAGGACCAAGGGGTGTCGGCTGGGAAGGCCAAGCCTTGCCGAGCGACCTCAGCCTAGAACCTCGCGACGGGATCCTTGCCCCCGACACAGAGACCACCTGACTGAACGCGGCGACATAACCTACTTCTCCCCTCGCGACCAACCAGAGTGCCCTACCTTACTTACTTCCCCAGGACAAGTACAAAAGTAAGGAACACTGGATTATTATGCTAACTACGAAATAGACTATAACTACGAAACACTAGATAGGAACTACACTATAGGGAAGAACATGTGGGCCAGAGCCAAGGAGTATCACAAGAGAACAAAGTGATTAGCAAAGATAAAACATATCAGATATGGCAATGACGCAATATATACAACTATGTACAAAGTACGACACTCACCTATCCCTCGATCTTCAGGCTTCCTTCAAGGCAAGCTCCTTCAGCTGCCCATTCCAGGCCCCCATTGGCCTCGGCGGTCTTCTTGCCTTCCTTCCTCCACAGTATCCGACAGGTGACAACTGCACGCCCTCGAAGAGGGGTGCTCGGATATTGGTCGGGCTTACACTGGCGCTCCTGTGCCTTATAGGCACCTTCACAGCGTTGCCCGGCTATACCGACCAGCAGCCGACAGCCAGCCGGTCGCGGTGCAAGACGAGTGACGACTGACTAGGCTATGCGAAGGAACGCGCACAACGCGCGCACATACGCGCCGCGTTGTGGCGGCCGAGCAAAGATGGGCCGGGGCGCGCGCGGTGCGCCCAGCGGCCACCGTCGCATCCGCGACATCTTGTGACAAGAACCTATAAATACTTAGGAAGAGACTCAGCAGTAGAATAATAAAAATTGTCGCAGAGCTCGCGAGCACAAAGGGAATGGTGAACCGCTTGAGACGGCTTTGTCTGTAAAGTGGGTGAATGCAGGGGAAAGTGTCGCGATTTCAACTTTTCAATTCAAAGCACATACATTGATGTCTTGGAGCACAGGTAAGAGTGGAGAGTTCGCCGTTCGGATTCTGTAAAAAGGGAGAGAGAGAAAGTTTTGCATTCTACAGGCTTTAGTTTTACTTAACTTCTGGATTAGACATAGAACCACATTGCCTCTTAGCACTCATACTTAAGCCAAAATTCCATCCCTTAGCTCAGCGTTGTTTTTGAGCAACACTACAGTCCACCGAATAGCCGGTTCGTACTCCTCTGCGCTCTTGCTCCTAGCCCACCCATCCATGATTGGAACTGTTGGAAAATTGCTTAAAAATCATAACGTTTTCTTTTTCTCCCTAGCAATGCTCCCCCGCCGTTGCATAGTTCGCTGCTTGTCGTGTGCCTTTGACAAAATAGTGTCGGTACCAAAATCAGGCCCAGGTAGGCAGTCCTGCAGGCAAGCAGGCAGGCAGGCATGTGAAAGGTCTCCAAATATTTCAGTAATAAGATCAGAACGACAACCTAAGTGATGTGCAGAACCCGTATCCGTTATATGTGGACGGTATGCGAGGGCTACAGAGGAAATCGCCTCTGTCAGAAAAGTTTTTTCTAATTAGGGCCCTATAAGGCTGACTATTCACCGAAAAGTTGCAAGTAGTCGTTGATTCGATGAAACGAAGAATCATCAAAGCCCTGTGTCCGAGGTGCCCCACTGTAAAGGAGGAAAAGTCAGAGAAATTGGGAATCCCTTCAAGTTATACTTCAATGGAAAAAGCATAAACGAAATGGAGTAATTATAGCTATGGTGAGAATCTCAAGAGCTCTGGCTTCGCTATCACCACAACCAACGGTTGAATCATGGCTGTGAGAGTAGACATGAAGGAGGGATAGCGAAAGTGGAAAAGTGATCTCGATAGTGAAAATGATAAAGAGAACGGTGCCCAGAAAGGACAAGTACGGGCTCAAGTATCGTCCGAGGCCAAGTTTTGCCCATACCTCGCCAACCTTGTGAGACTTTCGTATCCGTACTGCTGCAAAATAATAGAATTATAAATAATAGAGAATGCAGCTTGTGAAACTCCGTTTACAGTTTTTTGCCGATGTAGAGCTTGACACCTTCCCCAACTGTGGTAGTTTCATAGAAAGGCCTTGGCTCCTTTCTATGAAACTCCCAAAGACATGGAGCTTGATGTTACTGCGCTTCATGAGACCAGTCAGTATCTTCTCAGCTGGCCATTTGAGCCAGTTGGAGTCCAAATCGCAATTGTCCGAAGTGGTCACGCCTTTTTAGCCCTCTCATAATGTGCGCAGGTTTTGGAGGGAGGTTTTGTACCTCATTTCGGGTGATATTCTAGTATTACTACTGAGTTCAAACCTTACACATAACTGGGCGTCAACTGGCCTGTCAATCTAAACAGCTGGAACTGACACCATTTTAGCAAATGTTCAGGACTTGGTGTTTGCCTCGGCAGAGATGGAACTGACTTCCTCTTCTTCTTTTCCCTAGCGTTAAACCCGCGCCGTCGCAGGGTCCGCCGCTTTTGTCAGCCGACTCCATTTCATTCTATCTACGGCATCTTCTGCCGTCACCTCGGCTTCGGCGAGGTCCTTCTTGATCACGTCCCTCCATCTCTTTTCTGGGGCCCCTCGTGGTCGCTTATCTTGAACCTCGAACTCCATTGCTTCCCTCATCAGATGGCTCTGTGGTCTTCTTAGTACATGCCCAAACCATCGCAGGCGCTGCTCTCTCATTTTCAGTTGAACTAGAGCTGTTTGTATGGCCGTCCTGACGTCTTCATTTCTTACCCGATCCACACGCGTCCAGCCGCAGGCCCATCTGAGCATTCTCATCTGAGCATTCCCATTTCAGCAGACTGGAGCTGTCCTCCATGGACTTTACTTACGGGCCAACACTCGCTGCCATAGAGCATCGTGGACCCTACCACTGTTCGATACGCCTTTCCTTTGAGGGTTCTGGAGCATCGACGGTCGCAGAGGATACCCGTAGACTCCCTCCAGTTCATCCATGCCGCATTTAATCGGGATTTAACGGCCTGGCCCACGCTGCCATTAGCAGCTAGATCACTCCACAGGTAGCGGAAGTCCTGGAACTTCTCGATGGCTTCCCCGCGACCGTCGACGATTGACTCTGTGCCCTCCTTGGAGCTGAGGAACTTGGTCTCCTTCGCGTTCAGCCGGAGTCCATTCTCCGCCAATACCTTCTGCCAATTCTGGAGTTTGTCCTGGAGTTCCTTCTGCTCTCCGCTATCAGAGCGATGTCATCAGCGTAGAGATGGTCTTCAAAGGTCCATCCATGAGTTCTTCTGTGATGACGTCCATTGTGAGCTTGAAGAGGAACGGGTTCAGAGCTGATCCCTGGTGTACTTCAACCGTGACATCTATTGCTCCGGTCTGACCGTGTGGGGTGCGTATTGTTGTGGTGGAGCCATCGTACTTGTCTTTCACCAGAGAGATTAGGCTTTCTGGATTTTTTCGTTTTCGGAGCGCTCTCCAAAGGACTCGCCCCGGGAGACGGTCGAAAGCGTTCTCTAGGTCGAGGAAGGCTGGGTAGCAGACTACACGTTTTTCTTGACACCTATCCATAACTTGCCCAGCTATGAAGATGGCATCCTTTGTAGACCTTTCAAGCATGAAGCCGAATTGCTCGTGTGAGATTGGGACCAGTTCTCTCAATTTTGAGTCGACCAACCGCTCGTGCAGTTTCAACGTGTGAGCAGTCAACCTGATCCCCCAGTAGTTGGAACACTCCATCGCGTCCCCTTTCTGCTTCTAAATGGGAACGATAGTACTGCTTCTCCATGCCCCTGGCATTCGTCCTTTGGTGGTCACTGTGTTCGAGAATCGGGTGAGCCACCTTATCCCGTGCTCTCCGAGCGACTTCCATGCCTCGATTGCTACCCCATCCATACCAGTTACCTTTCCAACCTTTAACTTTCTCATTGCTTTACGCACCTCATCCTCTGCCCAAAGTTCGATGGGACCAGCCGTTGCCTCTAACTGGGAGCTGGTCTTACGGGCGAATTCGTCGTTTAGGAGCCCGTCGAAATATGCCTTCCACCTACGCCTGATCTCGCTAGGCTTCCTCAGGATTGCACCTTTGCTGTTCGTGACGGAGTTCACTACCCCGATGTCCTGAGCGGCGCGGTGACGCGCTTTCGCCTGGCGGAAGACGAACTTTTCTCCTTCTCGACTGTCGAGGTTCTCATACAAGTCAGCGTCCATTTCCCTGTTCTTCGCCTTCGCAACAGCAGCCTTGGCGAGCCGATTTCTTCTGCCTCACAACTGTTATACTTCATCATTCCAGAACCATGCTTCCTTGTCTTCTCGGAAACCACCTCGAGTTTCCTCCAGAGTTTCCTTTGCGCATCGCAGGATGACCTTCACAGCGTTGCTCCAGGTCTGCTGGATCGGCTCTTCGGGATTTGAAAGTCTAGCTTTAGTACCTTCTCTTTGAAGTGTTCTCTTTCGAATTAGTGCAACTTTTACAACCGGATCCTCTGTTCATTCTTGTCTTTTCTTAGGAAGATCGATGGCTATGTCTGCTAGAAGAGGTCTACTGTGGAGCTAGATCTTCTCCGGGCAGTACCTTGATGTCTTCAGTTTTGAGGGACGATCCTCTCTCTAGAACATGATCTATTTCCGATTCTTTCCCTCCACTGCTATACTGATTTCTTCTGAGACTTCCTTTTCGCGAAGATGGTGCTGCAGACTGCCAAGTCGAGGGCTATGGCCAGGGTAAGGACCCTCTCTCCTTCTTCGTTTCTGACTCCTACTCCTCCACCTCCATGAACCCTTTCCAGCCCCCTCTCAGATAGAACTCATCCTTTTCGTAGAAGGGACAGCCAGCTTGAGGTGCGTACACTGATATTATTGTCCATACCCCTCCTTCGTGTCTATCCTCACAGCGATGATCCAACTGGTGATCCTGTTGACGGCGGAGATAGAGGCTTTGAGGGATTCTGCCACTGTTATGGCCACAACATTTCGTTTGGTGTCTTCTCCGTTGTAGAAGAGGTTGACACCCTCTCCAATTTCTTGGGCCTTTGCCCCCTTCCAGCGGGTTTCCTGAAAGCATAGGACTTGGTTGTTCCTGCGCTTCATAAGGTAACCGACCTCCCGGGACTTCCCTTTAAGCGAACCCACATTTGGAGTCCCTACTCGAACTAACTCCTTTGGAATTCTATGGAACTGACTATTTTTGCCAAGTGAAGACGAAATCCCACTCTCCCGACTACTCGACTATCCCTGCCTTACCCCGAAAATTGGTAGGCTCCTTTAATGTCTCTTCTATGACTCCCTTCCTTCAACAACACTCCGTCATAAAGCAAGCCAATACGAATTATGCGCTCCAAAGTGAAAACGCGACGCAACCGCATGTCTGCTGCGGAACCTTTCTTCTGAACCCGCTTCGCTCTAACTCTCTGCATCGGTTCTTATTCTAATCTTATTGGTAATCGAGCATTTCATCTGTCAAATGTTCTATGGTCTCATCACCGTTTCAGCCATATCGACCATAACATATCTTCTTTTCGAAATAGCTCAATGGGTGACATGTTAGCTTTAAGCTTCGGATGATTTAGGCAATGCCGTCGGCCGCAAAAACGAAAAGCGGAAGGATATTCCGTGCACCAACCGATCAGGTAATTGCTTAGATATGTAGCATTTTCTGATCCTTAATGTACGACTTGTGGATGGTTATGCTTCGCTACTAATTTTTTCCGGAAGTTATCCGATTCGACTCTGCTACGCATACGAACCCGGGACAAGAAATCTAACAAAAATTTTCGTTGGGATTTCTGCCCTTATTGTATCAGCGATCTTTTGTGTTCTTTTTTCGTTCCACTTGATGATTTTTGTTCCGAACTATGGAGCTGCTTTTGATGAAGCCCATGAACCCCTTTGAATGTGAGAGTATCTACTTTGCAATTAGACATTGCAATGTGCTCTTTTCTGCCACTCTTTTCCCACGGATTCTATGTCTGCAGTAGCAGAAATGTCGACCCATTCATATTATTTTCGAAATTATTTTCGTATTCAACGTAAGACTTTTACGGCTAGAAATGAGAGAATAGATTAAGCTCTCTTATCGTTGCACTAAGAAGACAACATAAGTTTTCAATATATTTGTTGCCATCTCCTTTAAGCTGCGACGGAACCCTCTAAAAAAGGTAGGGAATTTCAGAAACGTTCTAGGGGATTTCTCGGTTCATCTTCAGGCCTGGATGGTATCAATATTCTTTGTGTTTCTTCAAAGCTAACCAAAGTAATGATCCACCACAGATATCCAAAGGCTTATCGCTCTACGAGGTTGTGACTGGGGCAAGAGCACATTTTCTATGATTCAGAGCAAAATTCTGAGATGTGTATCGGCTCAGTTCATTACTGTGATAAACCGAAGAAGAGCAGCAATAAGGATACATGAAAGATGATCATAGGCAAGATGAACACCCTCTGGTTAGCTTTACTTTATTGGTAGAGTTCATTTTACGGCGCCTTTTGATACACTGGGGTGTTGGGTAGACTGATATAGCAAATCTCTTCATGCTCGAAGGAAGGATATTGGAAGTCTTATCCTAAGCGGGAAAAACTTAACAGCAGAGCTTTGCATCCCCCTTACATCTGCTACTAACAAAGACGTAGTTGTGTAGCGCCAAATGGGCCACTATCATACCTTTTGTCTGTTGTTCGAATCCCGGGTAGGTATACGAACAAGCCTGTCGATCCCTCCAGGGTGGATTTCTTGGTAAGGGCTCGCTTTAAAGGGTAAAGGTACTCCTTTGTGCATTGGTTACCACCGCAACACATTTTACAGGCTGCACGAGCATTCAAAACGCATTTATGGTTCTCGGTAGAAATAAACCGCATGAGAGCATTCCAAAACGGGATTATTCTCCATCAAAATACTTAATTCCCAAGTCTTTGCTTTTTCAAAAACTGCACCATAATTAATTCTGTTATGGTACTGGGTTATTTGATGTCGAGGCGAAAAGGATTGAATAGTTGAAATCGAACCAAATTTTGATGAACCTTTAAATTTCAGCAAAATAAAATTTTTGTGATCGTAGAACTGCGATTGTTTATCAATTAGTGCGTGGTAACGCCTTGAGATTTGGAAGAAACTTTTCTCTGTGAGTTCTGAGCGTAAAAATGCTGGAAATGTTCTAAAAGTCATCTCTGGAATGTATGTCACCTTCCACTCTTCCGTAGACTTGCAATTTTATGCGAAATGATCGGATCTCATGGCACACAGCTCCTGAAGGTGTGACTTCAGGGACGCTCTCTCTTGCGTTCAGTAGGTGCCTCTTGTTCATTGTCTATTCATCATAGGGTAGCCATGAGAGGGATGGGGCATTTATGGAGAGACGTGGAAAGCCAATCTGGTCTAGTTCCAACAAAACTGCCTACTTCTCTTATAGTACGCATAGGGTTCGAAGCGATATGTTTTTCAACCGCGTTTGTTTTATGCTGTTCTGAAGCTTCCTTTCCCTTCTCATGAAGGCAGTGTTTCTCGTGTGCTCAGCTTTCTCGTGCTCGCTCTACAGTAAGAATCGAGGCGGATGTGGAGCGGCAAGCCTAAGAATGACGACATAACCTGCTTACTTCCACAACATCAGAGAATCCTACCTGTCTTCTGCCAATTAAGGTGTAACATATTAACGGATACATATTGCTCCGTCACTAAGGAAGATCACATAATAAAAAGAATACAACAAAGTACCAATTAGAACAAATTAAAAAGTCACGCGCTATCAAGCACTCCTGCTGTCCCCGAAGTTATCAGTCTACTTACCGGCCGTCGGCAATGTGTTGGAGTGGCTTATAACAAATAGTTGCTTCTGGGACGTGTGTCCTGGCCTTTTTCATATCTCTAGTATATGCCTTGGCGCCTACGCAAGACGACGCTTTCTTATTTTTTTTCCCCAGGCACGTAAACTCGAGAGAAGGCGTGAAAACAAGAAGAACAAACGGGATAGGCAGCAAATTCGGCAAACAATTGCAAAATGCTATGATGTTGATGACTCCACGAGTAAAATGCTCGCCATTGAAAGGCAGAGTAGGTTACAGTGTGTTGTTATGTTATTACTATTTTTTACTACCTTTTGGCTCTTTGCACATATTCTTCTCGGTCTAATTCATTTTCAAATTCTTCCCTTCCAGTTGTTGGACTTGACAAGCCCCAATTCCACATCGATGTCTTGAAGAAAAAACAAAGGGTAGGCGCAGTTTTACTCGTTTGAACCTCCATCAACCTTGTTTGGTTACATTGTGCGCTGGAAAGATCGCTTTACACTGAGCTGTATAAGTATCTATTCAGACTATCATGGAGATGGTCAACAAGCGAAGGGCGGTGTTGCAGACGTTGAAAGAAGAAAAAGAACTGAAGGAGTTGAATGAGAAATTGCATCACTATTATTCTGATTGCAAGAAACTACAAGCGCTCGCCGGTAATGAATTTGTGTTATTTCTAGTGCTCCGTTTGCCTATTTCAAAGTCTATTCGTGGAATATTCGTCGTATTGGATTCGTCGTTCGTAGTACACAAAGTCAGCTACATAAATATATGGATAATATTCTACTCTGCTTTCAATTGTTCCTTTGTAGTATCAGTAAACTCATGATAAATGAAGTCTCTTCTACCTTAAATACTTCCTAAACTGTCGCTGTAGTGAAGCAGCGAGCCAGCCATGGTGAATTAAGAGAAATAGTGGAACGTTTCAGAGCAGGAGCGTCTTGCACGGAATGCCGACGTTAACTTCATTCCTCTTCCCGAAGGAGATCTTGCTGAGGGTGAACTTCGAAAAGTACAGATCATGGGACCACAACCAATGGCACCTGTCAAGTAAGATTTTTCCTTCTAACTGTCGTTGACCAGATTTCGATCTTTCGCTTATGGGCATGTTTGTGTTCTTACTAGCTGACCCGAAGAACTGAGTCGGTTAATTGTGTTGTACTGTTTCCCTAATTTTGATGGTGTATGCGACATCAATTATTAAGGAAAAAGGTAGAGTTCAAACTTCCTCGCGGAGGACCTCGACGACAAGGGCTACGCCCTCCCGGACCTCCTTGTGGTATTCCCCCCGATTTGAGTGATAGCGAAGGCGAAGGAGAAAACGATCATGACCCTTATCACGTACCTCTCCCGGCTGACGACGACCTTGCGCCGGTGATAAGTGAGTGAATTTTTGCGTCGTTGTCTAATATGTCACCGAATGCTGCATCTTGGATGCGCAAATGTTTTTGTTTGTTCATAGCGCGATTACCCTGGAATTTTCAGTTCCTGATTTCGATGCTCCTAATAAGTTTCCAAAGTTCTCCAATGCCATACCTCTACGCCAGCGTAAGTTCATTTATTTCAGAGTATAATCTTTTCTACATTATCAAGTGATGTTATTTTAGCTCCTGGTCCCCCACCGATCCCTGTACCACCAAGATTCAATCCCATGGGTATTCCCATACCTCCAATGCCAGGTCCAGCTCCGGCACCTCTTACACAGAATGATGGAGGTTGTTTTATTTTGAAGTGCTTTTCAGCAAGAGTTTTTTCGAGCGTTGTAGTGATTATTTATGTATTCCTCGAAGCAACTTCTTGACTTATTGTCTGTATTTTTCAGGAGGAGCGGTTATTTCTTCTGCGCCAGTAATTCGACGAGATCGTGAACAACCGCCAGTAATCGGTCCTCAGGCCCCCACAACTGTTTCTGCCGCTCCGCAACTTAGAAATTTGAGGAAGGAAACTGTGAAGGTATATACACCATATTAGAATGTACAAAAAGTTTTGGAGAAACTCAGTGGGTCAGGGGGCTAATTCAGCTAATTGTATGTGAGATAAACATTTCCCGCTTCCTTGTCCTCATCCACGCGTGTAGTGGCCGAGTGTTGTCTACCACAATCAAATACCTTCCTTGTATTAAATGGGGCAAGAAAAGCCATCTGTCACAGTTATTCGCAGAATACTCTTGCTGTCACTGCAGTACCCTCGGTAGGATCTCGTTTTACAAATACTCGGTGAAGCAAAAGAAGAATGAGAACCTCGCTTCGGAACGATATGCGGCTTCAGATTCATTGGTGCTCTGCTCAATTTCCTACATCAGGTTTCATGAGATATCCACATTTCATCGGTAATGACGTTTGTTTGAGTCGCCCTTTGCTTACGGTCGGGAATCTCCTGCCATTGGTTCACACTCGGCGCTCATGCTGAATTGATGAGTGCTGCCACTGTGTAATGCTATGTAAGGTGGAACGACAAGTAAAAGTCGCCCTCTCCGTTTTCTTCGAAATCTCAGGATTGCTCTGCGCAGAGGCTAGATCATACCAGTATTAGAGTAATTGCCTCGAGTAGTTTTGTCGAGGTGCTCCTCTCAGGAGACCCGTTCGCACGAGCGTACATTGTGTAACCGATGGTAACTCACTTCCGATTAGCTGTAGTATTGACCTATCAAGAGTACCCTTTTCTCGTTGTGTATAGTTGGGCATCGAAGCATTTGTGTGATAAAATTTCCCGAAACGTCTTTCTAAACACTCTTCTGTTCAAACATGAATTATACCGTCTTCGAAGTTATCTGATTTTTCCGACTGAAAAATGCCCTTTTTGAGTTTATTTTTCAGCTAGTACCAGTGGTGTTGAAGCGTAAGCCAACTGGTGTTCGACCGAAGCCCACAATCCGGAGGCCTCAAACGGAGGCGACGCAACAGGCGAAAACCACAGATGAAGCGTATAATGAATTTATGAAAGAAATGGCTGATCTCATCTAAGGTTTTCTTTGCCGTATTTCGTTTTGAGTGTTTCCTCTCAAGTATGTTCTTTTTGAGCTCCATCGGCTTTTGTGGTTTTCCTTATTTTCTGATGTACATAAATATTTACTACTGTTTGTAATATATATTTGTGAAACGGAAGTTAAAGAAAGTATTGCCATGGAAAGCTGTACGTACTTATTGCATGCTGCACAGCAGCAACACAACCAGCAGAGCTCCGATTCCAGGGAATATAGCATGAAAAGGAATGAACTTTGCAATGGGCAGAAGTTCTAGGTTTTGTTTCTTAGTGCTTCTCCACCGTGAAAAACTCAGCGATTGTGAGAAGTAGATCAAAAAACGGCGATCGCACGCTGGTTGCGGAACGTCTTCAAATCGTGCGGATTTCTGAGTCTTCTCCATTAGGCCTGAAAGAAGTTGAGAGATAAGTAAGACAAAGGCCGTCTAGGCATGTCTAAACTAAGCGAGGTTCCTCTCCACGATGAGAGAAGCGTGCTCTCAAGTATAAGGTGCTTTTTACAAAGTACATGTTCTAAATTACACCATTCAATCCCGAAAAAATAACTAGAACACTAGAACGTGCGTGAAGGGGTAGGTGCTGAACACGATGTGTGCAAACTATGTATAATAGAATGGGTCCACCAAGGACTGTTCTTCTAATTTTTGGCAGTCCTTCTATTTCTACTGCTGAAGTTTTTCCTTTTGTTGACTCTTTATTTCGTGACGAGCTATTCATTCATACTGTTCGGTGGATTTATCCTGGATCTCATCGTTTTTCGACTACTGAATAATTCTTTTGCCTCCGAAGCTAAGTAAAAACTCCGTTTTGCTTCTGCTTACTCTTCGGGAGGGGAAGGCTCTATTTCTGCTCGGTACATTGGACACTTTTTCATATCAATTACGTCTTACGCTATCTGCCAAATATATGCATCCCGATAGCAAACAAAGAATAACAGGCGAACCGAGTGTGGTATGAAAATATGAATTGCGCCTAGGTAAACCGTCAATAATGTGTGGGCACATTAACTACATTAAGTGTAAGAACTGCAGAAAAGATGTCCAAGGCAATTTCAATGTCGAAGAGAGGTCAGATAATAATATGAGAACTTTTCACCGCTAAGGTTTACTGAAAGCGGCCATGTTCCGATGCATGCGGATAAGAGCCGAAGTTTGGGACGGGGGCTGTCGACGTCTGTCGCAATCTAAATAAACAGATTAAGCGTGCGAAATGAAAAACTCCAAGGAGTTTCGCCTCAAATTGGGGTAGGTTCTAAGTAGTGAAGCATTGATGAAGTGGACATCTAACGTCCTACTCTTCTGATGTCCTTTTGGTTGACGCCCCTTCTCAATGCCGTGGTTGCCGCCCCTCCTCGAAACGAATGAGGAGTTAAACCCTTGTGGTGTAGAACTACCTGACATGGATCCAAAAAGGTAGTGATCGCCGGTTTTATGCAATGACTGGTTCATGAACTGGTCCCATAGTGTTTTGTGAGTATATCAGATTATAGGTTCATGGCCCTATAACTGATAGCGTATCGGGACGTAAGTTCATAAGCGGGTACAAAGAACGCAGGGTCTATACATATTTTATTACTTATATATTTGATTACATCATGACTGGATGAAGGGGAAGGCCAGGACAAGTCGGCCACAGCCGATACGATGGGCAAGCCACGCAGAGCTAGACGCTCGAGATGTGTAGCGGCCAAGTTGCCGGTATCTGGCTCGTTTTATAGTGGCCCCGTGTAACGTGCGTGAACAGGTGGTCTCGTCCTGGTGGCGGTCGGGCAGCGAGGGTACGACAAGTACCCGCGACTTTGAGCGCCGTCGTTGTTCCTCTCTTCAGTTGGTACGTTTTTATTTTGGTACAAATAGCCACCAAATTCCTTGACCTTTATCCTGCACGTGCTGTTTCTGCACGTTTGCCGTTTCGCTAATCTTATTTATTTATTTATTTATTTATGCGTAGTGAACGCGCTACACCATGACAGTAATAAGCTGGAGAGGTTGACCTGGTAAGGTGATTTAAGAATTAAGAATTAAGAAACAACAAAGAAACAACAAAGGAAAGTTGCGAATAGAAATCCAATAATGAGTATATCATGACTAAGCGACGCCTGAAAAGAAAAGAATCTATGCTGAGTAGGTCGAGAAGATGGAATAGAGTGCCACAAAAGTCGCAAATTTGCCAATCAGGTGGACCGGTGACTGCTTCAAAACAGTGCAGCACTTAGAGATAAGCGGGAGACCGTACCAAGTAATTCCAAGAGGTTGACTTTTTGAATCGCTGATTTGAATAGCTTTGAGCTGTTCAATACCAGAAAATGCGGTGGGAGAGACTCCAGCCATTTAGTTGTGCGAATGATGAAGCAGTTCGCTCTCAACGTGCGATGCCACTTGCCCATTCTATGATTGAAGGTGTGAAACGGTCCTCTA